CCTTTTGCGCGACCGCCTGCCGTCGCGTCGCGGGCGTCAGGCCATTGGGCCTTACCTAGAACGCCGAGCCTCGCAAATTCCTGGATTCAGCTTGCGTGGCCCAGCAGTTTCTTTCGGAAGTTTGCGTCGGGTCTCTGCCGGCGAAAGATTTGGACTCGGATTCGGCGTCGCTCGTGCGGGGTGCCCCGATGCAGGGCCCACCCTGTTCGCAAAGCTGTTTGGGCCCAGATGGAGTCAGGGGGCCCTTGATGAGCTCGTGCAATGTCACTGAGGTCGGGTTGCGTTCATCCGCGCTGCGGGTTGCAGCTAGTGCTTCGGCAACGATGCTGGATCGAACGTGGAGACGATGGGATTCGCGTGGGCTCTCGATGTCGCGGGCGGCCCCTTTTCCCAACTGCTCGTGGCTCCACGGCGCGTTGCGCCCCTAAAGCCAATGGCCTTTCTGGATTATCGTCTTCCTCTCCAGTGAGCTTTCGATGGCCTGAGTCGCTGTTCAGAACAAACTTGCCGTCGGGGGCCATGGCTCTATAGATGGGTAGTAGTTCGTTCGCGCCTTAACGCGTTGGGTCGCCTCGCTTGGCGGCTCATTTGGCGCTGAAGGCGTTGTCGCGACGCAAAGCACGCAGCAGACCAGACTTGGGCCAGTGCCGAGCAGGCGAGAGCTCCCCGTGGACTGGCAAACATATCGCTGACAGGCTTACTCGTCGGTGCTGCTGGCAATGCTCCGACGAGATCGGCGTGCGTGAGCGGGCGCGGCTGCGTCGCAAATTCATCTAGGTCCATGGTCGCGCCGCTGGCGTCACTATTGGTGCACCTCGCGGCGCAAATGGTGGGCGTAGGCTTGCTTATCTTGCGCGTGTCAAACGCTGGTTCTACCTTGCGTGCGTAAGAGTCATTATGTTGCCCCCTACCGCACATGTAAATGTCGCCATCTTGCTCGGCAGCGCGCGGGCCAGGTGCAACTTCGGGTTGAGGGCCGCAAGACATTGATCTAACGCCACTATTGTCGGTCGCCCGATTGAGCATGGGGGCGGGGGGGCCCGCGGTGCATCTTGGGATCCAGCGACCAGCTTCAGGCGCTCGAGGCAGCGATGCGACTCGTCGTAATCATCGAGCCCATGCAGCGCGCGTAAGACCCATGCACTCCCAGGGGGGGGCGTGGAATCTACAGCGCGTTCTTGCTCCCCTGCGGCCTCCCCGAGTTCCTCGTGAGTGAATGTTTAAAGGAAGCCCCTTATCAACATCCAAGCTTGCCAATCTCCAGTCCTCGCGGCAAGCGGCCAGACTGGCTAGCAGTCGTCGCGAGGCGCGCCCGGCCGCCCCCGAAATGTCTTCGCCGAGATGGCTTCCTGATCCATGAAGCTTGTCAACGCAAGTCGTCTTCGGATGGTCTTCCAGGTCTGATCGCTGTCGCTCTTGGTGACTTTCCATTCGTTGATGCAACGCGGCGCAATCGCGATCTGGCTTGTCGATCGTAATCATCGTGAAGCATCCGCTCTGTAGAAATATCTTGTTCGGCTAAGGGGGCGCGCGACGCCTGCTTACGCTGATTTATACTTGATGTTTCGTCAGTGAATCGTCCTCCTGCGCTGCGCTGCCGCGGCCCGTTCAATCTCCGCCGAAACATGCGCCCGTGCGGCTGCTGCGTCGACTTCGCCGCCTCCGCGAAACCCAGCGGCGCGCCATGGGCAAGCTTCGACTCGGGTCGGGCGTCGGTGCTTTCGCCGCCTGCTCAGCGCTATGGCCGGCGTCCTTGAATGCGATGGCCGCGGAGCACCGCGCGGCTCTGGGCGGGCTGGGAGGGGGCGGCCGCCTCGCCGCTGCGCGCAGTCATCGAACTGCTCGCCCCGCGTAGTCATTGAACTCACGCTTCGAACCGATTGCGTCGAACGTGGCCCTCTCGGAGCCGGCAGCGGAAATCCTCCGCTTGCCGCCCCAGTCCGTTGACCGGGCGATCTCCATCTCGCGCGGCTCTCCATCCGCTGGCGCGGCCCTTGCCGCGGCGCGCCTCGGGGAGGGGCCGGGGGGGGGGTTCTCGGGGCCATCGATGGCCTGGATCTTCTTGGCCACCGACGCGGCGTTGAAGAGCGGCTCGACGGGCGCGCGCGGGGGGGCGCGCGCGGGGCGGCGCCCCAGCCGCGCATGCGCCGCCTCTGCCTTCGCGACGCGGTGGGGTCTGCGGAGTAGTCTACGGCGCGGCCCGAGGGCGCAATGCCCCCCTCCGCGGGCGCCGCCGATCTCGCCGAGATCCGATTCAAGATGCCAGCCGCCGCGATCTCACGGGGCCCATTCTGAAGGGCTTCCACCGCGCGAAAGCAACGTTCCCTACCTTCTCGAGCACGCCGCGGCTAGCCTTGGAGAAAACCTCGTTCGCCTCGAGATTGAACCCGTCTAAGCCGCCACGCACTGGCCCAGCAAGGTGGGCTCTCAATCGAGTGCCAAGGCCGCGGGGCCTCTGCGCCAACTGGAGAAGGCCTCCATGGCCAGCGTGGCCCGGGGCGACCCCAGCAGCAGGCGTCGCCGTCGCATGCCGGCCCATCCGCACGAGCTGGCTCGCCACCTCGTCGCAGCGGTCCTGTGAGAGGTGGTTCTCCTGGAACGCAATCGTGTCGCTGCTCCGCGCGTCCTCGTACTGCGACAGGTCCTCGTGCCTGCCGTGCACGTTGGCAGCGACGGTGAGGGTCTTCGACCAGCGCCGTGAGCTTCGCTTACCCTCGTACTCGAAGCTTGTTGCCAACTCGAAGGATCTCGATGGCCTCGCGAACCCTCTTGCGCCCCCCGTCGTCAGCACAACTACCAAAAACACCGCCGGGATCCTCGATGGCCATGAACGCTTCGAAATCGTCGGGCGCTGGTCCATTCCGTCCGTCACCACCTGGTCGGTTGGCGCATTTCTGCTGCTCTGGCTGACCTCCACCTGGTTGCTCACCAGGGGGAGCCGCTGCAGGCGCAAGGAAAGGGCGGGCGCCTTGGCTGCTTCCTCTTCCGCGAGCTCGTTGACCAAAGAAGACGCTGCTGTAAGATATTGACACCGTTGACCCCGTCTGCGCCGGTATTCCAGAGCGTACCCTTGATGACGTCTGGGCTGATACCGCTTTGCGCCCTGTGCAGCGCGGGTGTTTCTTTTAACTTCGGCAAACTTCCTGGTCAAACTTGGCGATATATTCTACTACCTCGTGGACGTGCTTTGGAGTTTTAAGAACCCGATCTTGCTCAACCTGAATGAACGCGGTCACAAACATCAGCGAATGTAGGTGCCAGTGTGGGCACGCTGATCGGCGGCGTGTCCAGCCAATCCGACAGCAAGATCGCGCCTGGCGTTTTCCAATTTCGCCAGAGATCCTCAGCTAATGGTGCCGTTCGCGGCAGACCAGGTCTCGTCGCTGAAGGCGGGCCACTTATTGACCTCATCCTGCGGGAGCGTTGCTGTTTGCCCTTGCTTGCCTAACTTGGGGTCGTAGCCGCCGCTCGCGCACTAGCCAATGAAGGTTTGACCGTTCTGACCCCGCTGTCGTTCTGGCGGTCCGCCAGCCCACTTTCCTCACACAGGAGGTCTCCACTGATCCTATGCTTGGCGGGGCATCCGAGGCCGACATCCACCGCATCCTGCCTTAGTACACTTGAGACGCTCGGCGCCGTAGTGCTCTCCGCAAAAGAATTGGCATTGAACTGCAATGGTCTAGACAAACCCAAAGTCATAAGTGCTAGCATAATACGCAGAAGGCATCTATACACCACCACCGTGCCAGGCCAGGGCCATCTTGGCCCTGGCATGGTGTATACGCCATCCTGGCCGAGGCCAGGAGGGCCTCTACACCATCCTGGAACCCAGGATGGCCCTGGCCGGGCACGGTGGTGGTGTATAGATGCCCTCGTCGGACATAAGGTCCCACGCGCGCACCGCGAGAAAGACACACCGCGGTATCAGCGGTATCCAGATCTGCCTTGGGACATGAATCGCCTTGGGCCGAAATGGGTTCGGAGGTCCCCTCTGATGGCTTCGGTGGAACTCCTTTCTTTTCGGTGGAGCTCCGTATGGGGCCACGAAACGTGTGATGGACATGTGCGTGCGGAGGGCACAAAAAGGGAGGAGGAGGAAGAGGAGGAGGAGGAGGACGAGGAGGAGGAGGAGGAGGAAGAGGGAGAGTGACGCAGGGCACCGTCTCCTAAGCGAGGACCCAACACCACATGATGGTTGGGAATAGGGGCGCATGGACGCGACGGCAAGGACCACAAATGCTGACCCCAAGCTTTGATTGTGAATGCTTTGCTTACTGCCCCTTGCCAATGACGGCTCGCAGACGCAAGGACAGACGAAACGTACAGCGGTAACACCGGGCTGGAGCCGCCGAACAGCAGACAAAACAGCGAGAGCCTGAGGTAGAGTAAGTGCCACCCTTTGGTACTGAGTAGACAGGAACTTCATCGATGCATGAAGCTGGCGAGATCTTGCCACTTCCCTGTGCCATCCCGCGAGAAAATTGCGCTTTCAGACCACCATCCTGTGCGCTGCCGACGCACGCCACATGTGCAACGCCAGGGTTGGTCCACCATGTTCTCAGCATCGCCAAACCTATCCCCATCCCCAGTCGGCCAGGGAACCGTGGAACCACAAACCTCCCTCACATGTGAGGATGCAGTCAACCCGAATAAGAAGGGCGCGCGATACGGATGCAAGGGCCTCGGAAGGCCATGCCGACACCCTGCAGGCGGGGCGCGGCCAGCGAAAGCGGCCAAGGATGGGCCGAAGGGGAAAGATGTAAGGTAACCTTGGAAAACCACTCATCCTTCTATGCGGGTTAACTGTAGATGCCGCGGAGCCCGACGGAGACAGCAGCTGACCCCACCTGGTCAGGTCGAACCTCGGGGCCACCATTGCTCCCCCAGTGGGGGCGGGACCAAGCCTGGTGATGCTGACGATCCCCAGCTTTTTGGCAAAGCGCTCGCCCGCGCAGCCGCGACGGACGAAGCCGCAAGTCGCTCGGCACAGTCGCGGCCATTCAGTGGCGCGCTGCATGGAGGGAGCCGCCGGCGCTCACCTTCACGTGCTCCTTGGAGGGCTGCAGGCGTTCGTGGGCCTGGCGCTCCCCCGTCTGCACCGCGTGGCGCAGACATCCGCCGATGCGATTCTTTCCGTCCGTGGCCCCAGAGGTCCCGACCGCTTCCCCGGGGGTGCTTCTTCCTCGCCATCGCTCGGACGTCCATTCCCTGTGCTTTTTGTCGGTTTCGTGCGTGTTGTTTCGCCAAGCGATCAAGGATGCTCCTCGATGGTCCTTGCCGAAGGAAAAATGCACACGTCCGAGCGATGCCACGCCAGAGGTCCCGACCGCTTCCCCGGGGGTGCTTTTTTTCTCGTCCCGGATCCATGCTTGAGGGTCCCCGGACCCGAGGACGGGCTCCAGGGGCCGAAATCTAAGAGAAAATGTCGGACTGCAAAAATCATACACGTCGGTCGGAGGCAGCAGGTAGAAACATGACGTAGGAAGGCGGATATATTGTGGATTGGGTCCAGGTCCAGCCCACGGAGTAACAAAACACAGCAAAAGCATGTCGATTCTTGAAGTAGGAAGGCGCTTGAAATAGATGGGGATCTGGGAATCCAAACATACATACTTCCAACGACCGGCGTGTACCCTCGGATCTCTGGGGAGGATGCCACAGTCGAGCCAGCGTTCGCCCGACCCCTGGCCGACGCTGCTCACCGCAGACGTGCGCACGGCAAGTGTGCACCGTGCTGTGACGACCTGCGTGCTGGCCTCTGACCACATGCGCGGATATCGCTCGACCTTGAGCGCTCGCGGCTTTCTCCGATCGCGCGGGGTCCTTTTCGCGGTCGGCCGATTTTCCGAGCCACCGGGGGCGTTCGACCTTGAACTCCCACGCGGACCTGCTGTACCCTACAATCTTGCGACGTGACCCCCCCCGTTCTTCTGCTTCATCCTGTTTGAAGCAGAAAGGCAGCAGAGGAAGGACATGAATGAGGGGGCCCAAGAACACATAAATAGATAAATAGAAATCCAAGGATTCTTTTTTTTCCGAGGTGTTCGTCTTCCCCCCCACTTCTCAAATTTTCCCATCATTCGCTGGGAATCGACGATCAATTGTGTCTGTGTGTTTTGTTCCCTCCTGAAGGAAGGCATCAGAGGAAGGACAGGAAACAGGAACGGTCCAGCACTCCAGTGGCCACAGGGCCGCCCTGAAAAGGGACTGGCTTCCACAGCCAAAGGGATGCGAATCCACGGCGAAACAACTAGATCGACAGCAAGAGGGAGGAAGAGGGGGGAGTGAGCTCCATTTTCGAAATATCTCATCGCCCTACCCCTCTTTCCGTTGGGAACGTGTCGTTTAGAGACATTACGAAGCCAGGAATCAGGACAATGATCGGGAGAACAAAGAAGAGAGAAAGGAGAGGAGAGGAAGAGGAGAACGACGATGATGGCGGCGATAAGAAATCCGCCGACCCTGTCAGCGTGTGTGAAAGGCATGTCTGTTCGAGTCGTGGTCTCCGTCAGCCGTCGTCTCCGTCATCCCCTTTCCCCGCACCGTCCTCCTGAAGCTTGTCAGCGAGAGAAAATCGAGCATGTCGTAATCGAATCGAAGGGGAGACCATTCCCGTTGATCCCTCCCCCGCCACGCCGGAGGGGGGGTCGCGGGGGGGGCCCTGGTTCAGAAACGCATCCCCCCCTGGGGGTCCCGGGGCCTCAGAAAGCACCAAGACAGGCCAAGCGTGCCTCAAAAGGCCCTCGAGACGGTCCAAAGGGTCCCCAATCGACAAACGACCGGTCCAAAACGCCGTCATGCCCTCCAGACTGGCCTCCAGGACGCTCCAGGAAGCCTCCAAGAGCACTCCCGAGAAGGCCCCAAGAGGCCAAATTCATTGATTTACACGTTTTTGTTCCAGGTCTGGGCGTCCGTGTCTGTTCTAATTCCCACCGCTCCAAGATGGCGCAAGAGGGCCCCAAGATCGCCCCAAGACGGCCCAAGAGGCCTCCAACAGAACCCCAAAACAGCCCACGAGGACCCCAAGACAGCCCAGAACGCCTCCACGACGGCCCAAGAGGCCGTAAAGACGGTTCCAAGAGCGTGCCCCCTGACGGGGGACCAGAACGGACATTTCGAGCCCTCGGCCCCGAGTGGCTCCCAGGAGGCCCGAAGAGGTTCCCATGAGGCCCCAAGATGCCCACAAGAGGTCCCCAGGAAACCCGAAGAGGTCCCCAAGAGGCCCCCAAGAGGCCTCCAAGAGGCTCCCAAGAGGCCCCAGTATTCCTACCCAGAGACCCCCGAGAGCCGTCCAAAGAGACCCCAAGAAGAATCCTTTAGGACTCTTGCCCACGTCAACGTCGTCGTCGTCGCCGCCGCCGCCGCCGCCGTTGTCGTCGTCGTCGTCGTCGTCGTCGTCTCCCTTCAGGGTCGGCGGCACTGGCCGCAAGACCTTCGCAGTAAGGACGAGGATCAAACATATGATATGAGAGGAGGGGCGGGGAGGAGGAAGAGGTGAAGGGGGAAAATGACAAATATAACGACCCTGTCATCATCACGACAATGCTGACCCAGTTGGCCGAGGAACGGGGGCAATGCCTGCGGCATCCACGTGACGACCATGACCCACCCCGACGGCAGAGATCTGACCCTGCAGTGCAGAGAAGAAGCCCTGCGAAACACAGCTGCGCAAGGAGCTGGCCAGCACCGAACGGGTGCACTCTGGGGCCTCCTTTGGGGCCTCTTTGGGGCCTCTTGGGGCCTCCTGGGCACCTCTCGGATGCTCTTTCGGTTCGTGCTCCCTCGCTTGGGCCCCTCTTGGGGCCGTCGTTGGCCGTCGCGCTGCGAGGAGGAGGAGGAGGAGGCGGAGGAGGAGGAGGAGGAGGAGGAGGATCGCACGCCACTGAGGGGAAAGGGGGGGAGAAAGTCCGACGGTCCAAAAAACCCAGGGGGCCCATAGGAGGAGAACTTTTTGTCACCCTGGCAGGAAGGCCAAAGACCTGCCAGGGGCCAACGACAGGGCCCCCCCCTGGGTATCTAACCGCCCAGTTCTTTTTCCTCCAGATCATTGTCTGGGGCTCGCTCCTGTAGCTTCGGTCCCAATTCAGCGGCTTCGAACTCATTAAGTCCAAACGCTTGCAGGGCATCTGCCAGGCACAAAATTGCCCGTGCAGGTGGGTCCGAAGTGGCCCTGGAAAAACCCCCTTCTCTCTTCTGGGCCGTCTTGGACTCCGAATCCCCCCAAACCAGCTCTCGCGCCCAAGCCCCAGGAGTTCGCCAAGAGCCCAGTTTGAGAGGCCTGTTGGGGTGCTTGCCCTTGCAGACAGCCCGAGAGTTCTTCCTGCCTGGGTCAACCAATGCCTGCTGGGACCCTCCACAGCTCTTCCGTAGGCCTCTGGGTCCCGCAGACACCGTGGCATACCTCCCGCAGGTCGAACAAAAAAGAATGGGAGGCTGGTTATCTTCAACCGCGAACTGAAGCAAAGCATGCCCTGCAATGAAGGCAGGGGTCTGGCGGGCATCCGCTGCCAGCGCCAGCAGCTCGGGCACCAAGGGCTCAGATGGAGGTCTCGAGGGCGGTGGAGGATCGCCGGGAGGAGGAGCAGGAACAGCAGCAACCTCGTCACCGCCCTCCTCCTGCCTCCTCATCGCCTCCTCTAGTGCCTCCTCAAGTCGGATCCCCCCTCCACGGAGATCTCTGTGAGCCCCTGGGCTCCAACGTTGTCCCACCTGCCTTCCTGCGCATAGTGGCCTTCAGCCCTACTAATGAACTGAAGGAGCAGGCGTGAGACATGGAGCATGCCTTTGGACATCATGACCACATTGGACGGGCAACGACATAGCTCCGCACCCAACTTCGCAAGTCGATCAGCTTCGGCATTGCCCTCCTTCTCAAAGTGGCTGGTCCGCCCTTCGCGCACATCTGTCATCGACGTGTGGGCCGCCACCTTACAAAAACTCACCAGAGCGGGCGTTCCTTCACGGAATGCCTCCTTCAAGATGTGTGCCCGAATGTTGCCATCTCTGTGCGCGTATCTGGCATTCTGACAACATTGAACTGTGCCTTTGCAATCGGAATAAATCGTGTACCTGCCTACTAGATGTCCTCAGGCCATCAGGATGGCGTAGTCCTCCCCGTCTCTGGCTACCTGGTCGGGGCCTTGTGGTGGGGGGGCCGCCCCATGCCACCTCGCCAGGGGTCGGCGATCATGGCCGAAAACCGCCGCACCCCAACCGGCAACCCTGAAGGACGGGAAGATACCATCGACCCAAGAGCCATCGCAAAAAACATGGCCACCATCCAGCGCCAGCGGCGCCGCTTGTCCTTCAACCTTGAACTCCCACTCAGGGTTCCACCCAGGTCGGGAGAAAACTTGGCAAGGGTCGGGAAGGATCCCCCTGGCGAGCCTCTCTTGCAAGTGCGCTGGCCCGAACCGCAAACGCTGCACTGGGCCGTCCAGGTCCTGCGGCAGATTGTCTCGACGCCAGCTTAGCCTAGCGGGGCAATCAAAATGACGATGGAACAAGCTGCCGACATCTTCCCCGCGTAGGAGACAGTGCGACGGCAGGGCAGGGTCATGCCTGTGAGGTCGCGCCTGGCACCAATGCGAGCCAATCACGAGACCTCGGAGAGTCCTCTGCTCACGAATCCCCCACCGACCGCCCCTCCCACCGCCATCCTCATCAAGCTGCCAGCGTCTATGCAGAAGCTCGTTCAAGGGCCGCCAAAAAATGTCCCCAGACCAGCCCTGACCATGGTCGATCTTGGCCAATCCTTCCTTGTCCGAGAAACGCCGAGCAGCGAAAGGAGGAGGAGGAGGAGGAGGAGGAGGAGGAGGAGGAGGAGTGGGAGGAGGAGGAGGAGGAGGAGGAGGAGGGGGAGGAGGAGGAGGAGGAGGAGGGGGGAGGAGGAGGAGGAGGAGGAGGAGGAGGAGGCGGAGGCGGAGGAGGACGAGGAGGAGGAGGAGGGAGGAGGAGGAGGAGGGAGGAGGGGGGAGGAGGAGGGGGGAGGAGGAGAAGGAGGAGGAGGGGGGAGGAGGAGGAGGTAAGGTAAGCCAGAGCCCTAAAGGCAGTTTGCCGTGCGGGACGGCGCGGGCCTGCCTCCTCAGATGACCACGTCCAGGAGGAAGGCAACACCTTGCGGGGTCAGGGAGAGGCCTGCCCGAAAGACAACCCCTTCGCCGACCCCGATCCCGTCGCCCTCAGGCGACGGGCCCAAAACCTGCAGGCCTAGCCAGCGCCCTCGCGCATCGCCGCGGCCCACTCGAGGAAGGTGTTCCAGCAGCCGCCGTCCTTGAAGTATTTCGCGAGCGCCTTCGCGCTCTCGTCACACAGCTCGAGGCCGTTGCTCTCCAACCTGAGCTTTACGTCCTCCAGCTCTTTGATGTCCTTGTAGGCCTCCGTGCCGACCGCCACTTCGAGGTATGAGGCCCTCGGGCGTGGATCACGAAGACCATGGCCAGGGCCGCCACCACCACCAGGCGCATGCAGGACCTTGTCGATGGTGTCGGTCTTGAGCCTCGCCGCTGCTGCACGCTGCGCCCATGCCAGCTCCGTCTTGGAGAAGGCCTCGGCGTTCTGCTGCAGCACCGCCTTGAACGTATCGTCATCGTGAGTCGCAGATCTATCCAGCGGCTTCGGCCGCTGGTCCCTCCGCCCACTCACGCCCATGTCCATGTTGGAGCTCATCTGCACGTTGACGGAGTCCTGCTGCTTCGAGCCCTCCGCCGTTACGGCACACTTCTCGTCGTCGGGAGCCGCTGCACTGCCCAGCGGGTTCAGTCGCTGGTCCTGCAGCCCACTCGTGCCCACGTAGATGTCATTGTGACTACTGCCCGCGATCTCGACGATCGTCTCAGCGCCGGCGGTGTCCAGCTTCTCTGCGGCCGCATCCGCCACGCCAGGCATCAGGCAGTCCGTGTTGAGGCTCTCCTGCTCGTCGATGGTGATCAGCTGCTGCGCGCCCACATCCATCACGGCAGGCTCCTCATGCTTCGTGTCGAAGTCGTCCAGATCGAGGTACCACATGTTGACTCCATTCAACCATTCCTCCTCGATGTCCTGGGCGTCCAGGGAGTACATCATGACCAGCTTGGGCATCCCGGCCTCCTGCGCCGTGGGGCTCTTCAGCGGCGCGGGCTGCGCGACCGCCGCCTCCAGGGCGCGCTGCTGAACATCTGGTCCTTCCTGTCCTTCCTGTCCTTTTTCTCCTTCTTGCGGGCCTCCTTCTCCGCCTTGCGCTGCTCGCGGATCTCGCGGTGCTTGCGAAGCTGGCGGAGCTCCTCCCATTCGGCCTCCTCCTTGTGCGCCTCCAGCGCGTCGAGGAACACCTGGCGAGCCGACGGCCTTGGCGAGCTGGGGCTCGGAGTAGCCGCCGATGGCGCCGTCGATGGAGTGGGCCCCCGCGTCCAGCGGTTCCTGCGCTGGAGCACGCCGCCCCGGTCGCCCTCCTTGCCCTGGGGCTCGTTCACCTGGCAGTCCTCCAGCGCTAGCAAGGGGGGCTCCACTGGCGGTGTCGAACTCGGCCGAGCCCGCGCCTTGGGCCGCGGCGCCTCCGTGGGGGGTGGGCGCGGCGGCTGCGCTGGCATCACTTGCCACAAGCCTGGTGGCGGCTCGAGCGGCGGGCTGTTGAAGGCCGCCTCGAGCGCCGCCGCCACCGCCGATGAGACCACCGTCGCCATCGCTTCGCGCCTCCATGCCATGAAGGGAGGTTCAGTTGCTCTGGGAGACTTTGGCTCGCAGACACGAGCACCACTTGAGCCAAAATGGCTTGAGCCAAAATGGCTACGGAGGGGAGGGGGAGGAGGAGGAGGAGGAGGAGGAGGAGGAGGAGGAGTGGTGTGGGAGAGGACTAGGGAGGAGGAGGCGAAGGGGGGGAAGGGAGGAGGAAAAGGAGGAGACCTACAGCACGCTCCAGTGGGGCAGCGCGGGGAGACGCCGCCTCGGTCCCCGCACCCCCCCCGCGGGGCCCACGGCCGCGCGGGGACGCTCCGACGGTGAGAGGGGGCGTGGCATTATGTCGGGCCTGTCCCCCTACAGGGGGGCGTTTCGACGTTTTTTTTTCTCTTTAAAAAAAATCAAGCAATAATAAAAAAATGGTGTGGGGACTATTTTTTGAGCATTGTTTGACCTTCTTGGGGTACTTTTGGTGTATCTTTTTATATTTTTCGTCGAAAGCCCTCCTGTAGGGGGGCACGCCCGACATAGGCGTGGTACCGTCCCTGCACTCTTGGCGCTCGCGGGCCGCCCTCTGCGCAGCGGGGCGGAGCGGCGAAGGCCTCATGAGACGAGGCCAGGGCGAGAACAGGTTTGGGCGGGGATGCAGTCGACCAGATTGAGAAAGCTGCGTGATGCGGATGCAGCGGCCACGGGGGGCCCCGTGTCGAAGCTTCTCGGGCGGGGCTCGGCCAGCGAAAGTGGCCAAGGGTGGGCCGAGGAGGCAAGCATGCAAGGGTACCCGCAAGCATGCAAGGGTACCCAGGGGAAGGTTGCCCACGCTTACTATATGCGGGTTGACTGTAATGCATAATAAGACGAAGCCAGAACGAAGATAAATTCGGGCGAAGATAAATCGGGAAACTCGAGATCCAACTGCTCTGGAGGACGTCTCGGGCGCCGCGGCCTTCTCAGGGCGCTCGGGAACGCTCTGAGAGCGTTCCGGAACGCTCTGGAACGGATCACCCTCGTCCCAGCTCCACCCGACCTAATTTTGAGCTCGGACAGGTGGCCGCCTCCGCTCCGGAGCACGACCCAAAGACTCGACTCACAGTGGCACCTGGCAGCGTACGCGCGAGCCGCCCATCGCAAAACGCAGTGGCACGAGCCAGCACGCAACGTCTCCTCGCGAGGGTGCGAGACTGGTCCACGCGTTTGGAGTCCCGAAACGGTGCGGTGACGCACCGTGCGGTGACCTCGAAATCCCCCAAAATCTCACCGCACGGTCCGTCACCGCACGGCCTTGGGACCCCGGAAGCCCCTGTCGCCCGAGACGTCCTCAGAGAACGACCCGAGTCCCAAAACCGTGCGGTGACCCCGAATCCCCACTGGCTCACCGCACGGTGTGGTCACCGCACCGCTTGGGGGCCCTCGAACGCGGGGCGTCTCGCCGGACGGGAGAAGGCCCGGAGACCGGAGGGGGGAGCACCGGGAGGGGCTGGGGGAGAGAGCACGCGGAGGCCGCGCCCGAGAGGCACCACGGCGGCCGCCAGCACGCGACGCAGAAGAGCGGGCGCCGCAGGGGCGGGCGAGCATCGCCCTCTGGGGCCCGGCACGTCAGGCCCCTCACTCGCCATCGCTCGGACGTCCACTCCCTGTGTTTTTTTTCGGTGTCGTGCGTGTCTTTGTTCGCCAAATGATCAAGAATGCTCCTCGATGGTCCTCGTCGAAGGAAAAATTCACACGTCCGAGCGATGCTACGCTCCAAGTTTCGGTGTTTTTTTTTGGTGCTCGGAGCTCTCCCTTGCGATCAAGAGCCAGAGCGGGCCGGATCGTCACGAGCCGAGGGTGTGGTCAGGCCGACGGAGGCACGGCGGGTGACGCCCGCAGGTCATCGGGCGCTTGCCGTGCTCTCCGCTCTCGCTCGCCACGGGGGAAAGCGGGAGGCCGCGCTCTCCACACGCGTCCGAGCTGCGTCTGCCACGGGGGTGTGGCAGGGCGGCTGGTCCTCGCTGTGAAGACATGCAGTGGAGGCCCGTGCACAAGAAGCCCTCCAGAAGAGACCAAACCCTGAGACCCCAGGACGTCCATTGCTTTTTCTGGCGTGGCGTGGGAGCGTCACGCCTTCACACAGCAAAGCCATCGAGACCCAAGAAACCCAGGGCACCCTGGGGGCAAGCAGGGTGTTTCTCGGCATGGGCCCCCACTGTGCTGAGAAGACATGCTTGCCGCACTGAACTGGGCTCGGGGCGCGGGCTTGTCTACCGCACTGGGCCGGACTTGGTGCGCGGACATTTTTTGCCGCACTGGGCAGGGTCGGGCAGATCGTGAGATCCCAGGTTCGGAGAAAGAGGAGGACGAGGAGGAAGAGGGAGGAATAAGGAAGTCAATAGTGGAGGAGCAGAGGGGGAAGGTGGAGGTAGTTGAGGGTGAGAAGCATGGGGGGAAGAAGGGGTAGAGGGAGCATGAGGGCCAGGGCAGGAGGGAGGACGGAGAAGACGCACGCATCGCTCCGACGGGGAGCCCCACATGGGAACCCACTACAGGTATGAGTTGCACAAGGACGCTGCGCACGAGGCGAAACCGTGGAAGCGCATCTGACTTGCCCTGCCCGACATCTCCTGCCTGCTGCAAGGCCCAAATCCCACGGGAGCGAGAAGGGCGCCCAGGCCTGGAGGAGGCCCGACGCTGCCGCGGTTGCATTCGAAGAGCCCTGGGCGATCGGGGGCGGTGCTCGGCCCCTCCGACTTCTGGCTCCAGCCTCTGCTGCTGCTTCTCTCCCTCATCCCATCGTCGTTCCTCCACCCTCTCCACCATCAGCCTGCTGCTGCTCCTCTTGCTTGCCTATCCTTTCTGCGCTGCTGCGCACAAATGGTTTGCGAAAGCAGCCAAGTCACGCCGCTGTGCGCGGAAGCTGCACATTCAGAAGGCTCGCGGCGGACTGTCTCCGAAGACTCCCCCCATGAGGGGGTGACCCATCCAAGAGGGAGCGCGCAATCGCGAGGGAGAGACTGACGGAGAGGAGAGGGAGGAATGCGCATACACACACGAGTCCATGTGTATATACATATATATATATGTATATATATATACAAACATGGTTGTATGTATGCGTGCACGTGCTTACAGACCGAGGGAAAGCAAGGGGTGTATCTGTACGTGTATGTCATGCCAGCACACATGGAGGAACCGGTAGGACGAGGGGGGGAGGCAGCGACGGAGAGGGAACGAGGCGGAGCAGCCTTCAGGCACCTCCGTCGGAGGCGGCGCGCGGAGGCAGCGCGCCAAACAATAACACGAAGAGGAGGAGAAGGAGGAGGAGGAGGAGAAGGGGGAGGAGGGGGAATAGGCGTATGATGAGGAGGATGAGGAGCAGGGGGAGGAGGAGGAGGGGGAGGAGGAGGAGGAGGAGGAGGAGGAGAAGCGGGAGGAGGGGGAATAGGCGTATGAGGACGAGGAGGAGGAGGAGGGGGAGAAGGAGGAGGACAGCAACTCCGGCACCTTCTGCTGCATCCTCACCGTTTCCAACGCACACACGTGATAACACTTCCGCTGTCGTCTTGCTAGGACCGTCATCTCTCTGGCAGGCAGTTCGTTTCATGATTTTCGGCAGCGAATGACGGACCACGATCGATATGCCATCGTGGACATCCCGACCAGAATCTACAGAACGAGAGAATGAACGCCGACGGCAATTCCTCTAGCACTTTAGGGCGTGACAAGTTTAACGAATTCGTTCTTCCAGCCCCCTTCTTCCCCCTCGGGGTCGACTCCGACTTTGGGATCCCAACCGCTCTCCAAGGAATGATGGCATCCAGGGCGGCGCTCGACATGGTAGCTTGGCATTCCACACAGGCCCTGGTCGTGGGACACCAAAGCTCGTACAGTTACAAAATAACCAAAAGAGAAAGAGACGTCGTGATGTCGTTAGCTCCATCGCCGTCTAACCGTCGAGCCCAGGGGCACCATTGACATGAGGCGATGATCATGTCGAAGATTGCCAGACTTGGCAGCAAGTGATCGCTTTGCAAAGGTTGAGATAATTCCACATCAACCGCCCAATCACGCCATATGGTGTCGTTCCCAGCTGCGTCGAAGTCCCTGTTGGGGCACACTGCTTGCTCCATTCCTGGCGCATCTCTTTCACGTCCGGGGGTCTGTCGGAGATGCTTCTCTGAATACTGGCGTAGCCAATTTACGTATACGCATATAGCATGGATACAACATATCTATATATATATATATATACACGCATAGGCAATGGGAGAAGGATTCATCATGGGATAACGCACAGAAACAGGAGGGAGAACACTTGTTCTTTCCTCCTACTCATCCTCTGCTGTTGCTCCTCCTTCTCCTCTACTGTTCCTCCTCATTCTCCGCTCCTCCTCCCCTCCTTCCCTCCGTCTCTTCCTCCATCATCCTCTACCCATCCTCCTCATCCTGCCCCCCTCATCTCATCCTCCTTTCCCTTTCCTCAAGCTTTTCCTCTCCTCTCCTCTCCTCCTCCTCCTCCTCCTCCCCTCCTCCTCCTCTCCTCTCCTCTCCTCTCGTCTCCTCCTCCTCCTCCTCCTCCTCCTTCTTCTCTTGCCCATCCGCAGAGGACGGCTTACCTGGCGCAGGAAGGCAGCCAAGGCAGCACGCCGCAACCGCCTGGATCACCCCAGCCGCTGGGAGCACGGGCACGACACGGCCGCGGGACGGGAACGACCCCTGAGAAACTCTTCACCAAGGCCTGCTCAGAAACTTGCCGTCGCTCGGACGTCCATGTCCCGTGCATTGATCGGTTTCGTGCGTGTTTTTTTGCTCGATGGTCCAGGATGGTCCTCGATGGTTCTCGCCGAAACAAATGCACACGTCAGAGCGATGCCAAGGAAACATAATACGCCTGCTGGGGCCTGAGGCCGCCAAGACCCGGCACCACGCGTGAAGAGCTGCGCACGCTCCGGGCTCCGGGCGAAACCCCCCCGGTCCTCCCCCGTGGCTGCTCTCCTCCCTTTCCACTGGCACCAGTGCGCAGTGGGCTCTGCCGCATCCTGGCTGTGGCTGCGTGACGCTTCGTGCTTCATCTTGGTGTCTCCGCTGGCAAAAGCTGCTCAGAGAAACAATGCAGCCAACCCGTGTCATAAGGGCTTTGGAAGGCCATGTTGACACTTTGCGAGCGGGGCGCGGACAACGAGAGCAGCCAAGGATGGACCGATGAGGCAAGGATGCAAGGGTACCCTTGGGAAGGCTGACTGACCATATTCATTACGCGGGTTGACTGTATACGGCAAGCTCGTGTCGAGACTGACACCGCGTGGATCTCTCTGCCTTGATCGCGTCTTCCCAAAAGCGCAAATCGTTCGGTGTCGGCCGATTGTGGGTCACGAGCGCCCGCGCTGGGGACATCGCTGCGCCGACAAAACACAAACCTACCGCACATTGGCCCCGTTCTTGCTCTCCTGCCGAGGCCTCCTCCCTGCTCGTCGCCGGTCTCGCGCTTCTCTCCCGACCCCTTAGATTCGACGTTGAGAGCAAATTGCAACAACGTGAAACATCTCGAAGGCCTCTCTGCGGCACTTGTCAAGCGCCAAGCCGAATCTGTTCCATGAAAAATCCGATGCCCAAGCTCTCAGGACCCAGACATCGGGCGCTCCGATTCTTTCGACGCACGGGCCTCTGAACCTCTCGGCAACTTCTCCACAGCCTGCTGTGCCTCCCGAGCCATCTTTTTGACGGCCCCCGAGCCCCGAAAGTGGCATCCAGAAGCGACTGCGACAAACTGGCCGCCCCCATTCTCTCGAGGCGCCGGATGTCTGGCTTGCTGGTCTTGGGTCTGCATGGCGAACGAACAGCACACACCCATACGCGTAATGGTATCGGACGGAAAATGGCTGGCTACGGGTACGGGTTTCCTGTTGTCGGACCGCGGGGGACGCTCCCGTGAGAGCGGGGACCCCCATCCGACAACACGCACCCATAGCCCCCTCCGACCCCCCCATGGGTATGGGTGTGTATGTTATTCGCTCGTCACTGCAGGTATCCAGCGGGTCGGCCGGGACGATCCGGGCACGCCAGAATGCTCTCGGCGAGGCGCAGCTGCTGGAACGCGCCCCGAGGCAGGGAGACCGACGAACACTGTCGACAACGTCAGAAAAACTCGAGCCTCGAGCCTCGAACCTCGTCGGACTTTCCCCTGACGGACTGGCGAAAAAATCTCCAGGATCGAGCTGAAACCTCCAGGGAACCGGCGAGGACGTCCGAACGGTGGACAGAAGCCGGCGGCCTCGGCCGTTTCGCGGCGGCCGGACGTCTGGGGCTCCTCCCTCCTCCGCTCGGGGGCGGTCTTCCTCGAGGCCCTCCTCCTCCGCTCGGGGCGGTCTTCCCTCGGGGCTCCTCCCTCCTCCGCTCGGGGCTCCTCCCTCCTCCGCTCGGGGCGGTCTTCCCTCCTCCGCTCGGGGCGGTCTTCCTCGTCCTTCCTCCTCCGCTCGGGGCGGTCTTCCTCCGACTCCAGCGAGGGGGCGTTGTCAAAGGCGCTCATGCGGTCGGACTCCTGCGGCGGGTTCGTGCCGTGGCTATCCCAGCAGTGGCACCCGACACGGCGTGGGTCGGTCAGCCTGGAGCGATTTCCGATCGCCGGGTCGTTCCACATTTTACCAGCCTGGAACATATCCCTATCCCTATGTTTGACATCGCCTCACCTCGATGCCGATCTTAAGGATCCCCTCAAGTTTTGAGGGCCTATCCCTAAGATTGTCCTCGCGTTTTGCTCGCCCATCTTAGGGATAGGGATACGCTCGAGGCTGGTTAACATTTGCCGATTCTGGGCCAACGGCGGCGTTCTACCTGGAAAGCCCGCGGCGGGGTCGCCGCCGCGTCGGCACGACACGGACCTACCGTGTACGCGCGCTCGTCGCGGCGGAAGGGGGGGCGGGCGGAGGCAGATCGAGGAAGCTCCTGGACTCGCCATCGCTCGGACGTGCATGTCCCGTGCATTTTTCGGTTTCGTGCGTGTTTTTTCTACTCGATGGTCCAGGATCGTCCTCAATGGCCCTCGCCGAGGAAAAAACGCACACGTCCGAGCGATGCCAGGCGGGAGGTATCGCGCGGCAGCTCGAGGCCCAGCCTGCGTCGGAGCCGCGTCGGATCATCGCCGCGCGAGCGCCGTCCCGTCCCGTATCTTACGGGGCGGAGGTGTGGACTGGATCGAACAACTATCAGGTCGGGCACGTCCACCTACAGGCGAATTTTGCAGAGCAAATAAAGCATAGCCACAAGATTCTCCAACGTAGTCGAACAACTATATATATATATATATATAGATGTATATATTTTTATATGTTTGGAACAGTTTGGAATAATCCTCCTGTAGAGCGACACGCCCGACTAAAAAAACAAACGCACTGCGGGACGAGGCCTCCAATATGTCCCTCGTGTAGCAACACGGGCGAGGAGAGGCCACTCCGGCGTGGACCCCACCACGGGCTCGGCAGGCTCGCATCGTAGCCACCTGCGCGCTGTGCTCCGACACCGCGTGCACGGCTCTGCCCCGAGCGATCGTGGCCTCTCGACGGGACGGATCGTTCGATGTCGTTCGATTCTGGGCTTGGGCGGCGCGCGCAACGGGGCAGGGGGAGGGGGGGAGGCGTCTTCGAAGGAGGCTGCTTCTTAGAAGGCGCGTGGCCTGGGTGCAGACCCGATACTGCGATGAGGGGTCTGAGTGCGATGATAACCGCGAGGTTGTTGTTGTCAGCAATGACGGAACTATATCAGCAATATATCAGCAATGATAGGCGATGGTATGTTGCTTAGCGGCACCTGCAGAAGTGTCTACCGATACGCCCAAGCTCAAGGGCCCTCAAAGGATTGAGCCCAAATAGTTACGGAAGGGCATGTTACCTTCCGTCTGAATATTTGCACATTCTGCTTGCTTGCTGGCACGCTATGCTACACTGCTTACATATCAGCACTGACACTATTTATTTCACACTCGTGCAAAATTCTTCTGATATGTGCATCTACTGATATAGCGCATTTAGATGTGGTAATGGCACGTCAACGAGCTAAAATGAGACCAGGCGCACCGCGCGCTTGAAAAGTGAGCCGGCACTGGTCAGGTGTGCCTCATGCTCTCTGGCCTGGTCAGTCGGCTCTTGATGCTGCAAAGCGAGGCGTGTGTCTCGCAGCACTGCCCTGATGGCACTGCCGTCCGACCTCTGGTGAACTGATCACCTAGCTGTTGATCAGTCGGAACCCAAAAGAGAGGTAGCTGGCTGCGCTGATCGTCAGCGACGAACTCGTTGCTAACTTCCTCTTCTAGTGACTCCTTGAGGCCCACTAGGTCGAGCAAAAGGCGCCGCTCTGACGGGAGCTTGGAATAACCGTCTTTTTGCATCGTATCGTACAAGCTGGCGCAATCTGTGACCTGAGCGAGCGGCAACAGACTCGGCGGGATGTCCTCTGGATGGGCATCCGGAATCTCTAGCGAAGCGAAAACGCAGCGTGTAATCTGAGCACAGCCTAGAGCGTCTACTGCCGACATCGTCTCGGCTGCCAACGTAGATCTGCAAACTCTCTTGATGGTGCCCGATCTCCAATCAACGATCCCTGCTCGAGCTCGATCTCCGCGTAGTAGCTTGGCTTCTGCGAGAAAAGTCACGTAGCCGGCCTGCGAGCGAATCTTGATCTTCTTGTCCTTACTGGTTGCTCCCACGGTCTTCGCGAGCAACTTGGAGATGGCGCCTTCAGCTGGCTCATCAGCGTTGGCCCAACTGGCGTCGTAGAACGTCACCAGGCACAGAGGTCCACGTAACTTAGGGAACTCCAAACCCACGTCCGCGTGCTTCCGCGCCAGCTTGATGAGCCTGTTCGTCTCGAGCAAGTCCTGGATGGTGGGCTTGTTCTGGGTTCGCTGCCCCATGGCCACTCCAGCTGCCAGGTCGGGACGAGTCTGCGATGAAAGCCACCCGAGCGCTCCGAGTGCGGAGCGGTTGTCCGAGAACTCAGCTGGCGTAGCATCTGACGACAGTTCCGTCTTGCGCTCCTTGCTGAGCGGAATCTCCTCGATGGTGTTCGCGCTCCTTCTTGATCTCGCCAGGCCTGCTTGCCGCAAAAGGTAAAGGGCAAGCCTCGCCAGTCGCCCCAGGGCAACAGCTTGTGAAGCCTGTCGTAGAGGCTCGGGTACTTGTGCGAGATCCCCAGCAGCAAGTCGCCCACGTGGGCGACCACCACCGCACAAAGCTCCCCGTGCTGGTCGTACCCGTAGTACAGCGCTGGGTCCAGCGAGTGCTGGTGCAGGCGAAACACGTAGTTGTCGCTCAGCTTCTCCTCCACCGCGAGCAAGGTCCTCTTGAGCTTCGCCCACCACTGTCTCGGTGCCGTCGCCAGCCCGAAAACTCCCATGAGGATTTTGATCAGCTGCTTCGGGTTGAGCCCAGGCAGACCTTCGCGAGGCTGGGCCATGTGCAGCTGCTGGTCGGGCTGCTCGTCGCCTTGCATGAAAGCCGCCTCCACGTCCGCCGCGTAGATCTCCAGGTCGAACCTCTGGCAGATGGTGAAGAACAGCATGGGCGAGTTGCGGGTGACCGTGGGCGCGTCCGTCCGCAGGTCGCCCTGAGCGAGGCGCGGGCCCATGTGACCCCCGACGCAGAGTCGGGCCTTCGCCCTGCACCAGCAGCGGATGCTTGTCGGTCCGCAGCGGGGCGCTCATGTCCCGGTACACGAACCGGCTGGGCAGGATGAGGCTGGGCTTGATCATGCCCCTGATCGCCTCGGACTCCTCGATGGAGAGTACCTGACAAGGGCCATACTTCTGCCACTCGCTCCACTGCTTGGCGGCCGCCTCCCTGAAGAGCTCCCGATCGGAGTCCTTGATGGCCCTCCAATGGATCTCCTTGTCGGCCTGCTTGCGCTTGATCCTCTCGGTCACGATGGAGGTTTGCAGCACTTGTCTTGGAGCCGACCTCGAACGTTGGCGGGTCCCTTCTGCTTCGGGTCCGGCTGCTGCCTCTTGATCGGGCGCCGCCGCGCGGTCGCGCGAAGTTGCCCTTGCGGGCAGGGCGCCAGAGCCTGCGTGCTCCCTCTCGGTCTGGAGGCGCTTGAAGGCCGGGCCGAAGTCGCCGCTGTCCCCTCCGTCGAAGGTAGCTCGACGTCGTCGGAACTCGTCAGGGCCGTAGGTTCGCTCTTCTTCAGCTTGCTGCGGCACGTCGGCGGGCAGCACCTGGATCTGCTCCTGCTGGGGCGGATCCTCGGGGACGTTGAGCCTGAGGTCGCTGTCGTCCGGGTTGTCGATAAATTTCCGCCACGCCTGCTCCATCTCGTATGGCTTGACCTCGGGCTCGCCAGGCGCCGGGCGGATGTCCTCCACCGGAGCCTCTTCCTGTTCGAGCGAGTCGCGAGCCCGGTTGAGCTCGGCCACGGCCTGACCGATCTCGTCCCTGCCGTTCGGGAACCAGACGCCGTCCGGAGCGAGTGCCTTGATGTGCTCCGGGGCCACCAGCATGGTGTGCCCTCCTAGCGAGACCCATGTGTTCTCGCCTTGGTGGCCGATGACTACGCACGGCCCTCGCCAGATGCCCTTCTTGGCGTTGCGGTTGTGCTGCTCCCGCTGCTCCTTCTTCTTGACCTGGCGGAAGACGTAGCACATCTCGCCCACTGACAAGGGTGTCGCCACCGTGCGCGCGCGAGCCAACATAGCTCGCCGGAGCTGGTCGTCGTTCTGCATCCTCATGAACGACTCGCGCGCCGCCGTCCGAATAGCATATCGTCGTTGGCCGCGAGGCTGTGGGCGCTGTAGTTGGCCGTATCGTCCACTAGGTCTCCGGGCATCTTGGGGTCGCGTCCCAGCACCCACTGCGCGGGGCTGAAGCCTGCTCGCCTTCTCAGCGAGTTCTTCGCGCCCGAGACCATGATGGCCAGCGTCCGCATCTCGTCCTCGCCCCTGATCGACGAGTGCTCGATCGTCCTCGCCGCGAGCTCCTTCCACCAAGCTCCCTGGGGTTCCACGCGACCGAGCTGCCAATGTGCCTGACCGGCGATGGGCAGCTGCACCGTGTTGAATGACTGGAACAGCTCGCTGATGGCGCCGCCGAAACCCTTCTCCATGTCGAAGTGGACTCGGTCCGGTACGCTCGCCCAGGAGGCCCAGCACCTCTCGAACGCGACGGCGAACTCCTGGCTGGTGTGGCGACCGATCAGCGTCGCGACGTGGAAGGTGGTAGCCAGGTCGACGATACTGAAGTACCAGTAGCTCTTGCCGTCGACGTCCTTGAGCTCGAAACAGTCGAAGCCGACGTCGTCTCCAAAATCTTGCACGAAGTGGAGGTGCGCTGGTCTCCTCGCGCTCGGGCGCTGCTGCGAGCGGCACACCCCGCAGATCAGCCCCTTGACGGCCTGGACGGTGGCCGACTTAGCGCCTTTGAGTCGCAAACTGCGCCCCAACTCTTCATTGGACGGATGGCCCAAGTTGACATGGAGTCTCTTGAGCATGGCCAGCTCGGCTGGCTTGCAGCAGGCTGCTGCTTTCTTTGTGAAGGTAATCGCGCCGACCCCGATCCTGCCGTCCGCAGTATCTTCGGCCCGCACGTTGTGAGTGTCGGCGAAGTCGTCTCCGCCGCCCATGGGGCCTGGGCCCCCATCAGGCTCGCCCGTTTCTCCCAAGGGCGCGGTGTCGTTCACGTAGGCGGTGGCCTGCTCCCTAGGCACTGTCACGATGAAGGGCGACGAGTGCGACTGGCAGTCCACCTGGTAGGCGCGCTGCCCACCTTGCTGGCGAATAACTTGCTCCACGATGCGTACCACCGCTCGGCAGAACTTAGCAGGATAAACGCCAGACTTGCGCACCGCCACGTTGTCCCCGAAGGTCTGGTCGTGGTGCTTGTGGCTGCAGGTGCGCTTCAGCTGCTCGAACTCCTTGTGGGTAACGCGCAGCTTCGTGGGGTGCTTGATGAGTCCCCCCGTCTTGTAGCGTCGAGCTCCGTACTCGCACGTGTCGCACCTCACCTGGTACACGCGCTCGTCTGCCAATAGCTCCAAAATCGCGCGCTGTGTCCATAGCCGGCTGGTGGCCGGGTTCTCGATCATGGCCATGTCGCCAGAGTCGAGCTGGTACTTGAAGAGGTCGCGGGCCAAGGTACGGCCGCTCCGCCCTCCAGATCCGCCGGAGCGCCTGCTTGGCCTGCGGCGTCCGAAAGTTGAGGTGCGTGATGTTCGTGTAGTGGGTGCAGGGTAGCTCGATTGACGCGAACTTCGGCCTCGAGGCGTAGTGCAGGTCGTGCGTTGCGTCGAGGTCCTTCTGCTTGCGTAAGTCCCATCCGTACTTGCGGTCGATCACCTCTGTGGCCGCCATCTGGCGCTTCCACGCCGCCTCGGTGATGCCGCCTTCGCCTCCGAACACCTGCATGACGTCCACGCGGTGGCTGCGAACGCTGTAGGCCTCCTTGACGTTCTGGACGTGGTCGACCACGTCTCGTGCAGCACTGCTAGCATGCTGCACCACTGGCTTGAGAGGTCTAGCCAGCCAGTCCGCGGTGAGCACCGTCTGAAAGGCGAAGGCGCTCAGCAAGCCCGTGGCCTGGTAGAGGAGGCCGACGCGCTTGCCCTTCTTGATGCCTGGCCGCCGCCTCGGGGCTGGCGACCCGTCCTGGCGGCCACCGCCGCCTAGTCTCGGCTCTGCTGAGGTTCCCTGGAGGCGCTCGGGTGATCCTCCCTGTCGGACTCGCCCGCCTTCTCGAAGCCCATGTCGCCGGTGTCCATCTCGTGCGGCTCCGGAGGACGCTGGCGCCGATGCCCGGCCCAGCTCCCCTGGCTTGCCGAGGTCGAGTCCTCGTGGTCGTCGCCGCTGGCGCCGCTCACTCGTCGTCTAGCACCACCTCCTCGGCCATCACTGCCTCCTAGGTGGTCTTGGCCTTCTCCGGGGGAAGGGGCTGCAGTCCGTGCGCCTTGACCCATCTGGCAAACCGCGCCAGGAGCGGGCTTGCCCGGTTGCTGTTGAGCTCCAGGACCGCCCACTGCGCGTAGCCCAGGTCGTCCTTGAGCACCCAGCGGTAGTCCGCCGTGGGGTACTTGCCGAAGCGCATCTTGTCGGCCCCGGTGATCTGTGAGCTCGGATGAGCCACCGTTGCCGAGGCACTGCTGGCCGCGTCCTCGACCTTCCAGCCCTTGAGGCGCTGCCTGAGCTCCGGCACGGTCGTGCGCTGGTCGAACTCGATCTGGCGGCCCCGGCGCAGCTGCTGGAGCTCCTCCTTGTTCTTCTTGCCGAGCCCCGGGACGTAGTCGCCCTGCGGCGTGCTCTCGCGGCCCTCGGCCCTCAGCGCGCGCAAGATCACCCGGGGCTGGTCGCACGTGGCGTCGCGCACATCCAAGTCGTAGCTTGCCACCTCGGCCTGCAGCTCCGGCATCCGCATGCTGGATATCGCCGGGAGACGGGCAGTACTCGTCGTCGGCAAGTTCTGGTTGCTGCTCCCCGGGCTCGTCTCCTTGGGAGATGTCGTACATCGCTGGTGCGGCGGGGGCTTAAGATCCGGCCGCTGGTTCGTAGAAAGCTGCGGTGGCTGGATCTGCCACGGCACGCGTCGCACTCGCTGGTGGAGCCGCGGTTGAACTCGAGCCGGATGGCTGCGGTGATGATGTAGTTTGATGACTGCGTGCTGATGGCTGATCTCGTGGCTCACTACGGCTTGCTTGCTGCTGAAATCGGACACGCCGTGACGGAGGATCGCTGCGAGGTTTAGCTCCTGGTTCGTCATGATCGTGGTTTGTCTGCATAATCTGTGCTGTGCTGACTGACCTAGTACGCACTCCCCAGGCCTCGTCTTCCGATCCCGACGACGATTGACGTGATGGAATGTATGCGCTTATGGCCTGGCGCACCTGCTGCTCGAACAGTTCGGCGCTATCGAGCGCGTCGCAGTCAGTGTCCGACTGAGACTCGTCGGCCTCCGAGGCGACCCCTTGGCGGCGAGCCTCGGGCGCCGCTGGCTTGGCGGCGCTGGCCGCAGCTGTCTCAGCGTGGTAAGAAGCGCAAGGGTGGAGACGAATCTCGGCCTTGGTATCCGAGACGTCCGAAACGGGCTTGTAGCCCGGCGTGAAGCCTGTGTTGTCCAGCGTCGGGTGTCCGGCGCGGCTCAGGCCCAAGATCTGGATGTCGTGCTCGTCGATCGACTTGATGTCCAGCTTGTTGTCTCCGGCGTGGTAGACTGTGTCCAGCTCGCTCTGGGCCTTGCGGCTGAACAGTCCTGGCACGGCGCTGCGCACGATGCTCATGCGGACGGTGAAGGCCTCGCCGTTCACCGAACAGGGGATCAGCGCCGCCTTGAGGCTGAACACTACCTTCGACGCCCCGAACCGGAACGGCTCCTTCTCGGGGTACTCGATGGGCTGGATGTTGAAGGCGGCCAGCCTCTTCTTGATGTCGTTGTACCAGTCGAGGCCGCCGACGCACCGCGCGCAGGCCGCGTCGAAGGTCAGCTTCCCCCCCGACTCCTTCAGCAGGTCCTCGACGCTGAGGTAGATCAGCGCCGAGCTCGTCGCGGCCATCAGGCACTGGTGGTCCTTATTGATGAAGAACGCCGCTGCCGTAACTTCTTCGGGTAGCCCGGCGGCCTGGCGCGTCTGCGCCCCGTCGATGCTGCGCAGCGCGCTGCACTTCCTGTCGCGAGCTGCGGCCCGCAGGTCCTGCTGGTAGACCGCCGCGACCGTCATCTCCGCCACGTGAGGCTCCTGCGCGTCGCTGGTCTCGTGCGTGGCGATGTTCGTCCTGTTGCTTCCCTTCTTCGGGATGTCGGCCTTGGCGTTAGGGTCGTTCTTCTTCGAGCACTGCGGGCCACCGCGCCAATGGCCCTTCTGGCCACATGCGCCGCAGTGTGTCCTTGCCTTCATCTTGGCAATCTTGGGATCGTCTCTCTTCGGCGGATTGCCGCCGTCGCGCTTGGCGAAGTAGCCGCGCGCCTGCTTCGCCTCCTTCAGCTTGTCCTTGGCGCGCGCCATCTTCTTGGTGAAGAAGGCTACCTGCTCCTCCGCCTCGTCGATCGCGCCCTGCAGCTCGTCGGGCAGATCGTCCTCGTAGTCGTCGGAGCTGTCTGAGGACGCGCCGTCGAACTCGGCCCTGCGATCCTCCTCGTGGGTCTCCGTAGCGTACGCCTGCTTGTGGTCCTTGTTCTTGTGACCTCAGTAGCCTCCTTTGTCGTGGCTGTCCTTGTTGCCGTCCACGACCGATACCTTGGGCAAGTTGATCATCAACTGCTCCTGGATCTTGGCGGGGTTGAACTGGTTGCCCACGCCGTTGAGCACGCTCGCCGCGCGCTCCGGGGGCAGGCGGGCCCCCTTGATGTACAGGTCCGCCAAGACCTCGTCGGGCACCTGGATGCCCTTGGCCTTCAGCTTGGTGGCGATCCCATTGATGCGGTTGTTGTAGTCGCGGATCCCCTCGTGATTGTGCCGGGCGCAGGCCGGGCGCACGAAGGTCTCCAGCAGCGCTGGGGTCTCCAGCACCTCGATCTCGGGAAAGCGCTTCCCGAGGTACTCCAGGAACACCTCCACCGAGTCGTCGCCCTTGATGGCGTCCAGGTCGAGCTCCTCGCACGCCTCCTCGGCCTTGCCCTTCAGGCTGGCCAGCAAGGTCGCTCCCTGCTTGGGCGGCTTGACCTCGGTCCCGATCTGCCAGGTGGCGACCTCTCGGCGGTGCTTCTTCATGGTCTTGCTCGTGCAATCGAAGACGGGTGCGGGGATCTTGCCCCCGTTGCTCTTGTCCTCGCCGCTGGCTGCACCGGCTCCTCCTGCCGTCGCCATGGTGGCGACCTCGAATGAGAGGTACAGTCGCAATCCGCACCACGAGCCTGTAGTGCTTGCTAAATGACTCTGCGAAGTCGCGCACGTAGCTGCCGTGGTCGAGTTGGCTCCTGCTACCAATGCAGACCCGATACTGCGATGAGGGGTCTGAGTGCGATGATAACCGCGAGGTTATTGTTGTCAGCAATGACGGAAATATATCAGCAATATATCAGCAATGATAAGCGATGGTATGTTGCTTAGCGGCACCTGCAGAGGTGTCTACCGATACGCACAAGCTCAAGGGATTGAGCCCAAATAATTACGAAAGGGCATGTTACCTGCCGTTTCAATATTAGCACATTCTGCTTGCTTGCTGGCACGCTATGCTACACTGCTTACAGATCAGCACTGACACTATTTATTTCACACTGGGGACGCTGAAAGAAACCAATGGTTGTCATCCATTCCAGCGCGATGCGCGATTTCAGTGTTCAATGCTTTTCTAACCTTGGCTGTGTTTCTCTCGTTCAGGCGTTTTTTTGTTGATCTGCATGCCAGGAGTTTCAGAATTCCTTGACATGTACCTGTTGTGTTTTTCTGTGTTTCGCTCCAACGCCGTTTAGGAATGCACACTTTCGGTCGAAGATAGAAATGTGATTCCGTTTTTTTTGTCCGCCGTAGGCCTTCACGAATTATTGTAATGTTCTCATCGATACGATATGATTTGTACCTTTTTACGGCTGTCCAGCTTTTATTCGGGCAGAATTGGGGCCATTCAAAGGATGGGGCCATTCAAAGGATGGGGCCATTCAAAGGAAGAGGAATAGGAGGAGGAGGAGGAGGAGGAGATGGGATATTGCAAAGCCCACAAGTCAACTACCTTTGCAGAACCTCAAGGAACTCGGGCTGCTCACGCGCTAGGCGGGCGGCGAGGCCAGCGGAATCGCTGTGGGTAAATGTTGGCTCACGCGCCTGGCGTGACCAATTGGGGAGGGAATGGTCGCTGGCGTGTTTTCTCTGCGCAAGAGAGCCGACGGCTGGGCGTGCGTTTTGAAAAGGGCCGCCCTCATACGTTAAGGGATCCTCGGGGTGTCTGAGGCGTGTAGGATATCCAGGGATGTCTGGGCACGCGGGTGCGTTTGAAAAGAGCCGCCCTCTTACGTTAAGGGGTCCTCGGAGTGTCAGAGGTGCGTGGGATGTCCAGGGATGTCTGGGCACGCGGGGAAGTGAAGGGAGAAGAGGGAGAAGTAGTTTTTTTGTTCGGCGTCAGAAGGCGCGTTGGCCCAAGCCTCCAAGGTCTTTGCACCATGCTGCAATGCAACACACAAGTGTAATTGTTGGATCAGTGAAGCGGCATTCCGTCCTCGTTGATGGCCATTGCACATTTGATACTAGATTGTTGGCAAGATGTGCAAGTGATGGGTTCCCACTGCACGTCAGAACATCGCCGCGCGAACGCGGTCCCATATGTTACGAAGCGGACGTGTGGACTGGATGATACAACTAATTACTGCAGGCATCCCGACACCTCTGGTAGGCCAAAGGCTGGACGCAGCTGCAGAGGGCACACCAAAGTCAGAAAGCGGCCTGCCAGCATCGGGCGCACGCTGACACGGATCAGGGGACCCTGGACCTGGCGCGAGGGTGCCAGATGCACGGAGCGGAGAAGGTATCCCCCGATCCGAGTCAGCAGACAACCATGCGCTCGAATGCTCAGCGCGTCGTCTCAGATATGGTAGCACGTCGTGACGGGCCTGATGGTGTGTGTCTCACGATAAACGATTTGTTTTCAGCTTTACAATTGCCCTCCAAGATAGCCTGGAAGAGACCCCCCCTGAAATGAGACCCCCCTCCCTTTATTACGAAATCTGGAGTACATAACGCATACAAGTCAAAGGAACGACCGAGCCCCTTTTTGAAAAGTAAGTGTTCCTTATCCAAGCCGCCCCCTGTGAGGAGGAGGAGCTCCCGGGAGCCCGTGGAGGGCCCGAGGCGGCCCGAAGCCCAATCCACGGCGGCCCAGGACTCCGCAGCGTGCCCCCTCGCCATCGCTCGGACGTCCATTCCCTGTGTTTTTGTTGGTTTCGTGCGTGGTTTTTTCGGCAAATGGTCAAGGATGCTCCTCGATGGTCCTCGCCGATGAAAAAGCGCACACGTCCGAGCGATGCCAGGGCCCCCAAACCCATCGTGGGCCAAGACTTTCACTGGCACAGCTGCGCAGGCTCGACGGCTGTCGGCGGCCAGGCACCACGAAGAGGAGCCCCAAGGGGGCCCGTGGACGGCCCGAGACGGCCCGAAACCCAATCCAAGGCGGCCCCAGAACCCCAAGGTGCGCCGAGGTTCTCCTGGGCGCAACTGCGCGGGCCCGACGGCTGCCGGCGGCCCGGCACTGGGGGGAGCTCTGGAGAGAGCGTGGGGGGCCCACGACGGCCTGGAGACCTCGACCGTGTGCGCGCCGAGACGCTCCAAGGCGGCCCGCGACCGTGTGCGCGCTGAGAGGGGACTGCTGTTCGTGTTGCTGCTGCTGCTCCATGCTGGTCTTGCTGCCTCGAAGCCCCCCACCCCCAATATCGAGATATCAAGATATCGAGACATCGAGTCCCCGCCCGGCCCCGCCCCCGATATCGAGATATCGAGGCATCGAATCTCTGCCCAGCCCCCGATATCGACATATCGCGATATCGCGATATCGAGATATCGAGTCTCCAGCCGCCCGCCCCCCGATATCGAGATGTCGAAATATCGATATATCGAGATACCGAGATGTCGAGTCCCCGCCAGACTCCGCCCCCGATATCGAGATGTCGAGATGTCGCGATGTCGAGTCCGCTCGACTCCCACGGGGACGCATTGCGACCACAATGTACAATACTACTCACACATCCATGCGCTTCCTGACACGCATGCCAGCCCCAAAACAGCTGAAATCCGCCGACCCTGTCGGCGTGTGGAAGAGGCTTCTCCGTCTGTTCCCTCCTCGTCGTCGCCGTCGTCGTCGTCGTCGTCGCTCCTTCCCCTTTCCCCACAGCGTCGTTGCTTCTACCTCTCTCCCAGGGCCTCCTACTGAAGCGTGTCGGTCCAAAGCGAAATTGAGCAACGTCGTAATTGAGTCGAACGGAAGCCCCTTCCCTTTGATCCTTTCCCCGCGGGGGGGGGGGGTCCCGGGGCGGGTCCCGGGTTTTTACGCCGCCCCCCCGGGGAACCCGAAGCCCAAAAAAGCCCCAAGACGGGCCAAGAGTGCCCGAAGAGGCCCCCAAGACGATCCAAGAGGGCCCCGAATCGCCGAATGGTCTGTCCAAGACGCCTTGACGGCCTCCAGACGGCCCAAGAGGCCTGCGAGACGCCCCAAGCGGCCTCCAGGACCGTTCCCGCGAGAGCCCCAAGAGGCACAAATCATGGATTTCCCATACGTTGTTCAAGAGTTTTGGCATTCTCGCCTCTTCCGTTTCCCCACGCGCCAAGACGGCCCAAGAGGCCCCCAACGTCAGGATCCAGAGCCTTCTGCAGGTACCCCCCACTGGATCCACCTCCTGCAACATGAACACCGATGCATGATGCACATCTGATGTGGGTGAGTTTAGCATGGACGCACGCAGATTGAACGGTGTATATGGAACAACCCAATATTTCAATGGTGCGAATTTACGCGTGTTACCGCGCTGCGCTTCAGTGTAGCAATGACCTATGCCTGGTCCAACTCTGTTGTGCCTGCAGACATCCGCATTGTCTTTAATACCGATCAGTCGGACAAAAAAGCTCACCGGGATGCGACCCTTCACCCACGGAGTCATAATGATATCACTGGCGGACCCCAGACTGGAATACCATCGCGAAAATGGTTCTTGACGCTGAAAAATATCAACCCCTCGGCGTCCGCCTGTAGGCCCGACATGGTGCGCTTATCTCCAGGCAAGTATGGGCATCCATGCGCCATCTGTTTACCAGAGTTTATCGTTTGGGGTTATGTTCGCTTCGGCATTACAGACCGACGTGTACTATGCTCGGGATATGCCTCCATTGAATCCCGTGTATGAAGAAGCGTGGTGCTCCTTCCTCTGTCAGGTCTGTCACCCGCGATTGCAATGATGCTGGGCACCTAATGCTTGGACTGCTGTGCCCACTGCTGGCCCGCAGGTAATGGGTCGGGAAGGTTTCCCCGCAGAGAATGGTTTTCTTCGTCTGGGGTTGGTTCTTATGCATGCCGGTGCTGCGGTCAGCCATCTTACATGTTCAGCATTGCAAGTGCTGGGTGTGCCCAGTGCTTGGATTTCAGGCCGTGCGCAACGTCGCCGAGGTCTTCTAATGATACAATTCGCAACCTTCTGGTGGCCGAGCTGCCAGCAAGTCGCTGAGGCAAACCCAACAATCGAACTCGTCATGCGAGACAACCGCATGCGTGAAACCATGCGAGAGATTGTCTGTATGAAATGGCTTGTGCCGGGTGGCTGTAATGAACTAGCGAGCCACTCCAAGCAAAAGCGCTGGCAATGCGCATCCGGTCGTCGCGCTGACTGCTTCTCCGTCTTGAGTAGCGCCGTCAGAGCCTCAGCTTCGCCGCCGTCGGTGAGGACTGGTTCTTGGCGTAGCCGGTCACGGACGCGCCGGCGTTCAACAGTTACCTCTGTCACGCGCGTTGCCGTGCATGTAGTTGAGCACTTGACTGCCCTATATCGGCTCGAGCCATCATCTGAGGTGCCATTATGCGAAATGTTAAGTGGCATCTGACATGGGGCGCCGAGTGCTTCCCAATGAAGCATGCTTCCCTCCCCCACTTCAGGGGCGCTAGCAGGCTGCCCCGCAGATGCAGATGTAGCAGGCGCCCCCGCAGCAGCCGACGCAGCAGCGGGCTCTGCAGGTGACCCCGCAGATCCAAATGGATCCGTCTCCTGCTCGCGGCTGTCCTTGCACTGGCACCTTCTCGCCATTGGAGCTCCCCGGGCCTTCGATGTGGTCCGGCGTGCTTTCTTTTCCGCTTCTTGCTGCGAG